CCCCCTGCCCCAGCTCACCAGCCGAGGGAAGCTCATCACGCTGGGGTTTCCCCAGAATTCCCTACGTGCTGATTGGAAGCACTTGGGACACATCTGAGGCACATGGATGGGGCTGCCCATGTGGCTCTCAACAAGCTTTGCAGACCAGCACCCAGGCTCTTGGTCGTCTGCACCCTGCAGAGCAGCACTTACACACCCAGCAGGAGCTGGCACAGCGTCCCTGCTGCTCCCATCTCAGACACGTGGGATGCCAGCACGAGCTTCCTCAGCAGCACACACACCTCTCCCTCCTCACCCCGGCGCCAGCTTCAAAAAGAAAACGACTTGGCAGCAAGGCAGGAGGAGCCGAATCCCGCGCCCCAGCCTTCCCCCAGAGACAAAACACTTCCCAGCCACGGCCGTGCCAAGACAAACGGGTCAGGGCTCCTGAAAGCGCCTCACTTCGCATAGCAGAGCCTCCAGCAAACACACTACCCACCTGCCAGCCCTGCTCCTCCACCCGCAGGAACGTCTTCGGGAAAGCCCCGCATTTTTTTCGGGGAGAGAGGGAGAGGAAAGGCTGCACCTGCCCCTCTGTGCCCAGGGACCTCCGGCGAGGATGGTCACGCCGATGGGCAAGGCAAAGCCCAAGGGATGTCGCCTGTGAAAGCCGGGTTGCAGGCAGGGGAGTGGGACCAGGACCAGCTCCGCAGCGCTTGCCCCCTCCGTCCAGCATCCTCGCTGCGTCACCCTGACCTGCTGAGCAGAGTGACAGCCCCTGGCCACAGGTACCTGGCCGGGGGGGCACAGGGGCTTCCCAGAGGTCCCACGCCATACAATGGCCTCACACAGTTGCACAGCACCAGCAAAATCTCCCCCCAGCACCCCCCGGTCTGTCCCAGGCAGCAAGAGGCTCCGGCCAAAACCCCGCGGGCAGCAGCGAGCCTGGGAGCGGGAGGCTGGGGCAGCAAGGCAGGCAGGGCTGATGGGGAGGCAGCCTGCTGCGGCCAGGGGATTTTTCTGCTTCACAGGGCTCCTTATGTAACCCTGAATTTAAAGGGGAGAGAGGATTTTTGGCAAGCAGCAGCCTCCAAATGCGTGCCAGTCCCCAAGGGGGTTTAAATCCATACAGCGTGTGCACGGAGCATATGGGAAAGCGCCGAGCTCCCGAGCTCCACGTACAGAAGTGCAGCACACAGCTCTGTGACCCCCACTCATCGCTGCCCGGGAAGCGAGGGTCAGCCCCGACCGACCCCCACCAGCAACCCACAGTCACCCACGGGGAGGAGGGAAAACAAGGTGGTTTTCCACGCCCGGGCATGATGCACTCTCAGCCACAACAGTTTCAGCCTCCCGCAGCCATGGCGAGGCTGCTGGACCTCCTCGTCGTGCCACCACGCCGACTCCAAGGCCAGCGGTCCTACTCCCGGCTGGAGTGGGGACCCAGCACCATGCCAGCCTTCCAGCGGGGAAGGACCGGGAACGATGCCAGCCGGCCACGTTCGGCCTCAGGATGTTGGGCTGCTTCCTCAGTTACTTTAACTTCTGTTTTTGCTGAATGCACAGCCGAAGGCTGACTCCCTTCCCCGCCTGACCTTTGCTCACCCTTCCCTAAGCAGAGGGAACTCCTACAGCCAGGCGTGAGAGATGCAGGGATCCCCAAAACAGGAACGTGGGACACCATGCAACCAGAGCAAAAAGGGGGAAGAGGAATTAGGACCTCTGCACCCACCCTCTGACTCCCAGCCTCGCAAGCACCCTCTCCTATCCATCAGGCAGTACACGCGCCCCGCATCCCCCTCCGCATCACCAGGCTAGACGTTTTAAAGATCCCAGAAAATTATCTTCCCAGCCACGGAGCGAGACGGGAGCGATGCTCAGCCCACACGCAGCTCCCATCCGGATACCTGGGATCCCTCAGGCGCTTTCCTGGGAAAAAAAAACACTCTCTGGCCCCGGTGAAGCACCCCAGCACCAGCAGAGGGGTTCAGGGCGATGTCATGAAGGTATTTAAGCCCCAGCAGTCCCTCTGGGTGCAGTCTCTGCTCTCCCTGCACACACCCTGCTGCCTCCCCAAGCCCTGGGCTGCTGAATATGCAAGAGGAGAGATGTTTACGGTGTTTACTCTTCTCTGCTTTGTCTCAACAAACTCTCTGGGAAACGACAAATACAGCTGCGCTCCGGGACCGCGAGGAGCCCCCACCGCTGCCGTCGCGATGCCGACACCACCTCGATAAATAATTATGCCGACAATTAGCTCATTAACAGCAAACTGCCTCGTTAGGGAAGCGCAGGCAGGCAGCACGGCGAGGTCGGGCCAAGGGCAGTGGTGCGGGGGTGACGGCACCGACCGCCTCCATGGTGGATGCGGGCGGCGGGGAGAGGCGAGGCGGAGGGACGGAGGGACAGAAGGATGGAAGGACAGAGGGACAGCTGTCCCCTGGCCGGTGCCAGCAGGGACCGACACGCACCACAGCACGCGAGGGCCAGTGACCTTGCAGCGTTTCAGCTTGCAGACGCTGGGATCTGCAGGAGGCATCGAGCTCTGCCCGCTCTCCCATTTGCACGAGTGTTTGCAGGAACCATGGACTCACCCCATTGCAAGGGGTGGGGGGTTTGTTTGGGGGGGTTTGGGGTATTTTTTATTTATAATGACTTTTTTCCTTTATTTTTACTTCCTTGCTTTCCTTTGGCATCCCTCTCAGCTGCCCCTGGCCCCCAGACGCCCCAGGCCCCCACCTCCATGCCTCTGCAGCCTTCTCCTCTCTCCCAGCACCAACCCACCTCCCCAAAACAGGGCCAGGAAACTCGGTTTTCCCAGGGTAGCGGCCTGCCGGAGGGGGGAAAGCGGGCCGCAGCACCGAGCGAGCAGCAGCGGGCCGTCTCCATGATGTGCCTTGTCTCATTGCCTCCCTTCAAGCCCACTTACGAAGGCAATGAGGGAGCAGACAGCACAGGCAAAGCTCGCGCCACTCAGCATTATTAATTAAGCCAATACTTCCCCACTTAACACCATCATAGGCACACCCCATCCCCCTGTGCCCCCCAGAGATGGCAACGGAGGATGCAAGGGGCATGAAGAGCAGGGAGGAGGTTGCAGGAGGCAGGTACCAAGCCCTAGGCTGGCAATGCCAGGTTTTCTCCGTGTTAATCGCTGCCCAGGAATCATCCCAGCACAGTACAGTTTGTTAACATCTGCATTTCCCTGGCTGCCCCTGCGAAGGATTTGGCTTATCCTGGCCCAGTTTGGGCCAGTTTGTCCCCAGCCATCACCCTGTGCCAGCAGGCTGGGCAGGGAGCCCACCAAGGACTCAAATCTCATTTTCTCCCTTGGGCAGCGCTGCTGCCCATGTCCTGCCGGCTCCAGGCACTGGCTCTGCCTGTGCTGCCAGCCCAGGGGTCAAGGACTCCAGGAACCCCGAATCGCTCCCTGCTGCAACATCCCCACTCCAGCTCCATCTCACTGCCCTCTCCCAGCCCTGCTATATCAGACCCTCGTCCCCCAAAACTTGGGTTGGGCGTGCTGGGGAGATGCACAGAGCACTCCTGGCCACGGGCACGCAGACCTCGGCCCCTGCGTTGCACAGGGACAGCAAAGAGCCGGGCTACAGCACATCAAACCCCTCTTCAGTGAAACACTGTGAGCAGCAAAACCTCTGGACGGGCTCAGGAGTGATTTGGGCAGTGAGGCTGGTGCAAGAGACAGGACCAGACAGACCAGAAAAGTGCCTTGGCTGCACACGTGAGCCCATGCACGGGTCTGAGCACACCAGCACAGGGGGTGTTGCTCCTCTTCCCACTGCCAGATCGCTGCATCCCAGAAGGGGAGAGAGAGAAGCAGGAGACAGGAATTTGCTCCACTCGCCAGCACTGGGGAGAACATCCCCCGAGCTGGCTGCCAGAAGCCTGGCAGCCTCTCCTGGCTCCGGCTCCAGAGAATCGGAGCTGCCCTGCAGCGCCCGGGGATGAGCATCCCCAGCCCGCGCTGCTCCAGGCCTGGGAGCGGGGCACCGGCAGACCCTCCTCCAGCGTGGACCAGCCTCAGCCCCTCGCTGCCTCGAAGGAAGGGAGAAAGAGGGCTACTGGGATATTCTCCATATGGATGGGGCGTAAATCCCAAGCAACTACTGACTCAAGCAACTGCATTCTGCCTCCTTAAAAACACAAAAAAACAGCATGCCTTTTCTTTTCTGGCCAGCCCCCACCACGGAGAGATCCGTCACTGCCACGACCCACCCCAGAGGCGGCTGCATTTCATTAGGCACAGAGACGCCTGACAGAAAGGGGTTACATGCTCCGCGGGGTCTGGTCTGGCTTGTGCTTAGCACAGCGAGGAGCTGAGAGATTGACTCATGATCCAGTCATGTCTCTCCCCGCCCTGCTTGGCAGCTGGAGCAGGACGGGGACAGAAAACACCACCTGGCTCCCCTGGGGAGAGCGGCACCCCCCAGCCCAGCCCATTCGACAGCAGGAGCCACCCCCCATCGTGACAGGCATTCGTCCACCCGGCAAGTCTGCAGGACCCAAAGAGCACCTTGAGATCCACCTACTCGCCCGGGCTGGCCACCAGGCAGCAACCCCAGGACCCTCCTAGCATGAAACCGCCCCAAATGCAGGGGGGCAGAGCCCCCTCCCCAAACCCGGGGGGGCGAGCCGGGAGCGCAGGAGGCAGCAGCAAGCATCTCCTCCGCCGGAGCCAGCAGCTGCGCGACCCAACAGGCAGCAGTGTAACGATTTCATCATTCTCCAGCAAAATTAAATTAGTTCAAAGCCAAAATCTGATTTGCGAGCCCAGCGCTCTTGACAGCAAACCCTTTACTTTGTCAGGCAGCTGTTAGCTGTCTCCTCCGGAGCTGCGGGGAGGACGGTGGGAGGGAAGGCAGGGCTGCTCCGCAGGGACCCCTGCCCACCTGCCCGCCCCGTCAGGCACCCAAACCGCTGCTCAGGCAGGGCCGGGGGCTTAGCAACGGGTGCGAACACCAGCAAGCAGGGCTGGGGGAGCTGGGTGGTAGTGGAAGCCCCAAGACCCCTGCTAGACCCTCAAATGCACACACCAGCACCCCAAAACCCCTCTCTGCCAGGTATCTGACCCTGCCTGGGGACTACCCAGCCCAGCTTGGTGATGCCCATCATAAGATCTCCCCATCACCCAGAGCCTCTCTGCTGGTTTATAACACCGCCTGGAAAAAAATCCAGCAATACCAATAGTTGGAAAACAAACCCAGAGCGCCAAGCACGAAGGTCCCCCACTCCCCACCGCTCACAAGCCCCACACAAGGCAGCTGAGCCACAAGCAGGAGCCAGACGTGAGCACCAGGCAGGAGGACACATCCCTGGTGACAGGGCAGAGCGCTCCCTCCATAGGGAACCACTGCCCTGGGACACCAACACTTGCCTCCAACACCTCCGGGTGACAATCTGCACAGGCCACGCTCAAAACCCACCTCATTCACAGCACCTTGTGCCCTCTGCCCTCCTCTCCAGCACCCCATGGAGAGGATGTGGTCTCTCCACGCTGAGCACGACCATCTTCTACCAGGACCACCTACCTCCCTGCCCCTCTCCAACAGCTCTGCAATCCCTGTTCCCCACATCCTGCTGCCCCCAACACCTTCCGCTTGGCCACCACCAAGCCTCAGGTGACACAACACTCTCAAAATCACACGTGCCACCTGTGAGGGACTCCCCAGTGGAGCTGCAGCAGATGCCCTGGAGACCATGCATCCTGCCCTCCCAGCCCAGCTCACCAACACTCCCCAGATCCACAGGGCAGAGGAACCAGAAGCAGGCACTTCCATCAGCATGGGGCCTCTCGCTTGTGGTTCTCCGCAGGCACCGATGCAGCCCAAACCCAGATGGCCACTCCGCAATGAAGCCGCAATCTCCGCAAGGAATGCTACCAAGCAAGCCCAGCACCCAGCCCTAACGGCACCAGTCCTCCCACCAAGAAACACAGCTCAGGTCCGGTCACCAGCAAGGGCTCGGCCAGAGAGCACCGCCAGGAGCCAGAAACAGCCTGCCTTGGGTAGAGACAAGCAGGAACTTACCGAGTTGATGCAGCCCAGCTCCTTATTCAAGAGCCAGGGCAGCGAGAGTTTCCCTTCCCCTCTGTAGCACGACTGGATACGCTCCTTGATCTTATCCTTGATCTTCTTCAACGTGAAGAGGCAGAGCACAGACTCCTTGGGAGGCTTAACCCTGTTTTTCTGGCCCTGGGAGAAGATGGTGAAGAGGATATCCTCCCGCTCCGAGATGCCCAGGTACTTGGCCAAAGCCTTGCCAGGCTTGGTCAGGTAGGCGTCCTGGATCAGGCGGTACTCGATGCCGTCCTGCACACAGCCAATGGGGAACTCCACGTAGGAGTAGAACTTGGGGTCGTCCACGCAGAGGCGGACAATCTTGGAGGTGAAAAACTGCTCCCCGGTGGAGTCGGGTGAGGTGAGCTGGGTGTCCAGCTGCAGGGTCAGGTAGTAAACAAACTGCTCGCTGCTGAAGCTGTAGATGTAGTAGATGTCAAAGGTGGGAAACTTGGAGAGTGTATCCGAGGGAATCTTGAGTTGGGAGGAGACAAACTCGTCCTGGTAGACAAAGCCAAACATCTCCGCGTTCTCCTCATTGGCCATAAGCTTGCGGCTGGAGAGTGTGGGGAAGTACTCTGACTTCCCGTCAATGGGCGTCCCAATGAAGAGCTTGTTCTGCCCGTTCAGCACCTCGATGATGACCCCAGACATGGTGCCCGACTCGTTGACGCTGGAGAGGTAGTGCTCCTTGCGGTGGTGGGGCTCACCCAACTTAAAGAGATCATCCAGCCGCAGGAACTGGCAAATACCCTGGGAGGCACTGCCGCAGGCGATCAGCCGGTTCCCCGAGTAGTCCACCAGCAGCAGTTTGTTCACGTTGTTGGTGGTGACCAGCCCGTGAGGGCAGGACTGAACGCTGGGCGGAGGATAACACTTCTCATTGTCCTCCACGGGTCCTGTCACGTGGGTCCGCAGGAGCGTGAGGTTATTGGAGAGCTTGTAGATCCGATTGACAGCCCCCACATAGACCTCCCCAGTTTTGTTGTGGACCACCAAGTGCGTCAAGCTCCAGTCTGTAACTGGGAAAGTCCTAAAGGGAGACTTGGGGCTGCCTTCCGCCAGCGGTAGCCAGGTGCTCCCCAAGAGCAGCAAGGTCCAAATGTTGACGGACAAGTGGTGCTTAAGCCAAAGGAGCCACAT